AATAATAGGAGAGAACCCGGCCATCTCCGATAGATACTCGACCTGTGCTGAGGATACAGATCCCCCGGGTCCAGTAGCCGGCGCAAGGCCACTTGTAGGGCGGTGACCCCCAGTTCTTGAACCGCGCCAAAAAAGGTTTCCGGCTGCCTGTGTCACTCTCTGGTTCTCCTGGGCACAGATTAGAGGAAAAGTAAAAAGAAAAAAGAAAATGAAAGTAAAGATAGAAATAAAAAATAAAAATGAAAGTAAAAATAGAGATAAAAATGAAAATGAAAATAAAAATACAAAAAAAGATTTAAAAAAATAAAAAATGAAAAGTGAAAATGACAATGAAAATAATAATAAAGTTGAAAATCAAATTCAAAATTAAAATTAAATTTTTTTTTTAATATGAAAAGTTAAAATCCTCACTACTCTTAGACAGAATGAAAACAAAACCCAAAACAAAATACAGGGTGATTTAAAAAAAACAACTGTACAACTTTTTTTGTAAATATCTCGCACAAATTTGTACTAGCCTGTTGTAATTAATTTGAAATAGATATAATTCATTCAAAAGGAATTTGTTTGACATAAGATTCAAAAAGATGAATTTTTTTTTTTGAAAACAGATATGGCTTTTATTTTATTTTTTTAAACAACCCATAAATGCAGAATGCACCAATTTAAAAGATCTTGTAAAGAAAATCATGAAATGATTAGTCTGATTTTTCCTTGCCTTTTATTTTTAAAATCTACTCTTTCCATCCATGTAACCTTTTTAACAATTTCTTAAAATCTCCTACAGAGTTAAAAGAATATTCTTTTAATTCTGGAATTCCGAGAAAGAACCAATGATCTATATGTCCCCCTTTGGACTCGACACATTTGAACGCGTCGTTCGTCAAGTTCAAAGTGGCCAAACACAAGGATTCACTCAACCATGAGTAATCTAAGCCACTACACGGCACGCCTTACATTGTGGAGATGTTTCTAGGGGAGGGGGCGAGGTTTCCCAAACAAACAGCATTTGTAGAGTTGATATAACCTGAAAGGTGAATATAGGCTTTGCCAAGGGGCCAAATGTCATAGAGGAAATGTTCACGCTTTTCAAGATGATCGAGAAATCATGAACACATTGCTATCCTCTGATAGCTTCCAAATGGGAAAATGGTGCAGTCGTAGATGGAGATCTGCCTTGAGTATGCGGTCAGTTGAGAAGTAGGAAAGTTATTGCTGCAGACATCGTCTTTGGACAGACGTCTCATGGGGCTCATCTACTGAATTATGCACCCTGGGGAATTTTAAAGGGGAGGGAACGGGGTGTGTTTGGTCTGAAATGTTCGTTTTCAGTTTTCAGTTCTGATTCTCCACAAGTACTAACTGATGGACAATTTCCACCCTTGATATCAAAGAAGGCCTTCAGGGCACTTTAACACTATTTCCGTACCTTGCGCAAAGATTACGAAATGAGTTGGTGGTGAGGAAATGTTCAGTACAAAAAGCTCTTTGCTCTTTACTTATCTTAACCATGATCTCAGCAGGCAAAGGAAACTTGAGAAACACTATCTGCAAACTCCTGTTGGCCTGTTAGACTATTGTAATTTGCAATATGGTGCAATCGTTGGTTGTTTTTTTTGTGGTAGGCCTAATGCGAACTAGTACGTCATGCTACAAAATGGGGACATTGCTGCAAATGGGTTGTTTTTCTAAGCTGAATACAGCAAAACTATTCAGTGAATTTGTCAAAAATGAAAATCAAACAAATTCTTTTTGACTTCCAAAGATTGTGTACAAATTTGAAGCTCAAAACTTCAGTGTGGAGGAAAATATTAACTAAAAAAGGTGCACAATTTTTTGTGTGGATCACCCAGTATGTTGTTGGTAGCGTGCCCTTGTAAGAGCCAGGTTTACCCAGGTGAGGGTTACGGTTGAGCGACGTGAAAAGCGTCTCGTCAGGGATGTCCGTCGTCTAGACCCACCAACCAACCAACCAACCAACCAATCAATCAAGCAACCAACCAACCAACAAACAAACAAACAAACAAACAAACAAACAAACAAACAAACAAACAAACAAACAAACAAGCGCGAAATAATAATAATCTACCTTTGTAAGAGCCAGGTATACCCATGTGCGGGTAATGGTTGAGGGACGTAAAAAGCGTCATGTCTGGGATGTCCGTGGTGTTGACACACCAACCTTCCAACCAACCAACCAATCGACCAACAAACAAACAAATAAACAACCAGCCAAACAAATAAGCTCGAAATAATAATAATATACATTAATAAGAACCAGGTATACCCCGGAGCGGGTTATGGTTGAACAACGTAAAACATGTCTCCTCGGGGACTCACCAACCAACTGACCAATCAACAAACAAACAAACAAACAAACAAACAAACAAACAAACAAACAAACAAACAAACAAGCGCGTTATAATAATGTATACCTTTGTAAGAGCTAGGTATACCCAGGTGCGGGTTATGGTTGAGCGACGTGAAAACGTCTCGTCTGGGATGTCCGTCGTCTTGACCCACCGACCAATCAACCAACCAACCCACCAACCAACCAACCAACCAACAAACAAACAAACAATCAACCAACCAACAAACAAACAAACAAACAAACAAACAAGCGCAAAAACACCAAGAATAATCTACCTTTATAAGAACCAGGTATACCCAAGTGCGGGTTATGGTTGAGCGACGTGAAAAACGTCTCGTCAGGGATGTCCGTGGTATTGACCCACTTTATCAAGGCAGAGGCTGTGTCGTTGTGTAAGATGTAGCCCACAAACTCCCTGTTGATCACTACATGGACGGAGCCCTTCCGGGGGCGGATGCCGGCAGGGGGTGTGGTCTTCTTCCATCGTTCTGGGTTAGCTCTGGTTGGAAAGGGGGGGGGGGGGGGGGTTGTTACTTTTGTTTTAGGGTTCTTTGGGTTTAGGTGAGGTTTAGGGTTTGGGTTAGGGTTAGGTTTAGGGACAGGGTCAAGGTGTGTGTGAGGTGTGGAGTGTTACTTTTGTTGTAGTTGTAGCATTAGGGTTAGGGTTTAGGTTAGGGGTTAGACTGGGTGTGGTGGGTGGTGTGTGGTGTGTAGTGTTACCTTTGTTGTAGCATTAGGGTTAGGGTCTAGGATTAGGGATAGGGTTTAAGATTATGGTTAGGTTAGGGTTAAGGTTTGTGGGAAGTGGAGTGTTACTTTTGTTGTAGCATTTGGGTTAGGGTTGAGGATTAGGGTTAGGTTAGGGTTTAGCCTAGGTGTGGTGTTTAGTGTTACCTTCGTTGCAGCATTGAGGTATGAGTTATGGATTAGGGTTAGGTTAGGGTTCAGGCTGCGTGGGGGTGACGTTAGACAAACAGATAGACAAACAGACAGACAGACTGGGTGAGTGTGCCTGCTTTGTGTTGTTCTCAGATGGAGATCCCAGCTTTATGCAAGGGCGGTCTGTTACTGCAGAGCAGACAGGATTTTCTTCAAGAAATATATCAATTTCTTCAGGTCAATTCCCATCTTATCGAATTATGTAATACTGCGCTTTTCCGTACCATATTATAACGGGACACCTGAATAGTAATAAGGGTCTTGAACATCTAGCTCTCACTGACAAAACTGAAAGCAAACGACGTAGTGGTAGGCCCAGAGCAACCTACTTAGGGAACCTAAACAAATGGATAACGGGGAAAGATCAGGAAAATTTAGTTTTTTAAAGAGCAACCGAGCAAAGGAATGAATGGAGAACCATGATCGCCGATGTCTGTAGCAGATCTGGCACTGGACCATGATGGTGATGATGTGCATTTTATTATTTCCTAAGCGGGCTTTTTAATGACGCTTCTCTTACGATGACACTGCAAAATTAATTAAATGGACATTTTGTTACTGAACTGATGATTTCTTTTCATTTCTCTCTCTCTCTCTCTCTCTCTCTCTCTCTCTCTCTCTCTCTCTCTCTCTCTCTCTCTCTCTCTCTCTCTCTCTCTCTTTCTGCCTCTCTAATGTTTTTACCTTTTTACGGTCCCTTCAACATCGTTTGCACCGTTGTAAGCTGTGAGAATTTTCACCAGTTCATAATTTGTTTTTAAAGGGAGCTCCTGCCCCGTCAGGTTGATAAAATATTTCCAGGTTTTATAACCCCACAGGGCTTCCATACACACTAGTTCCGGTTCTAACACGCTGAATGATCCCCACTGCACGTTAATTCTCTTCGGGGCAAGAAACACGTTATGAAAACACTTTACAACACTTTCCACAGCTTTGAAAAATCCTTCATCCGCGGTTTTGTCGATATGTACACAGTAAATATTCTGGGGTCTGTATACCGAGCGGAGAACTCTCTCCACCATTTCGGAGTCGGTGAAAGCTAGAATGGAAAAAGCGATCGGAAAATGTTCTTCCTCTTTTGTCAAGGGAGAGGTTATATATCCGCGCGTCTGAATAAAATCCGTGCAATTTTTCGTGGCCTCCATGTAGAAAGCATTGGACAGACCAATAGTTTTGTTGTTCTCCATCTGTCTCGTGACGTTTACGGCGATTTCGATGTCGTGTTTGGCTCCGCTGAAGACACCATCGCAGTCCACCTCCTTGACCTTGAATACTGAGGTCAGCGCGTCCAGACGCTCTCTCGAGGGGGGTGGAGGGGGCGAGGGCGGGGGAGGGGGCAGTTGTGTAATGACGTCATTCGCCGTACCCGGAGACCACGATGACGTCATACCAGACTGAGGACGCGACGACTCATCTCTGGTTTCATCAGAGTCGGTTTTGCGGCTGCTTCCAGGAAGAATTTCCCGAAAAGAGTAGAAAAGATCTTTAAACGAGGAGGTGGACGTCAAATTATTTGTATTATTAGTTCTGGAGGTGAGGAGCGTGTGTTGGAAGTAGAAACGGGTGGCGAGGGTTAGGGTTCGATTCTGTAACGTGACCATGTAGAGCATCCCAGCGAACCAGAAGAAGACAAGCAGACAGAGACACAGACAGAATTTCCTGAGGCGGCAGGACTGGACACATGATGACGTCATGGCTCTCAGCGCACTGGGGAACTCTCACGGCATGGTTCTGTTATGAGCAGGAAGGAGAGAAAATAAAACAAAAATAAACAAACGTCTTCAAATCGTCAAATTAACAAATAAATAAGTGAATGAATAAAGAAATTAAATAAATAAATAAACAAATAGATAAATAAATAAATAAATAAATAAGTGAAAGAATAAATAAATAAATACATAAATAAATAAATAAACAAACAAATAAATAAATAAGTGAAAGAATAAATAAATAAATAAATAAATAAATAAATAAATAAAAATCAGTTAGTTTTGATCCGTATCGTGTACCAGTAACCGTACCATGTTGTGCCTTTAGTTTTCCGGGTTTTAAGTGATATCGCATCATATCAGACTATCCACTATCAAAAACTCTTGAAAACTTAAGTACACGGCTACGGACAAGCAAGAAATCTGATAAAGTCCATTGCCGAATCACTTTTTCACGAGGCCAAGGGCGGAGGCTGACTTATTTAACCTTATCAGTAGCCATGGGGTCATTTAGAATACTTCTAATGCCAAGATCTCCTTGAAACCTTTAGTATTTCTTTAAAAAATTATTCTGATAGACTGCTATACAAAGCGTACGGATCGGATTAACGAGGAAGTTTCCTTTTTGGAAAATGGTGGCACAGAGTTCCCCTTTTCGTATGGATACGATAGCAAAAAAACGACGTACGAATAGGGTTAAGTGGTGGTATAGAGTTTCCCACAACGTATGGATACTATAGTAAAACACGATGTACGGATAGGGTTAACAGGCTAATCGAAGTGAGACAAAGAACGGGGCCGCTCGGGGTCTAGAGGTTAATGTGTTCGCCTCTCATTCAATAGGTCCCGGGTTTGAATCCGGATCGCGACGGAACATTTTCTTCTCTAAAATGTTCTTCTTTTACTTCCTTTCCTGCTCTCAAACAATGTTCTGCCCCCGTCTGAAAGGAGTAATGACCCGGATATTTTTTTAACAATAGTTTTAACTAAAATTTGAATACATAATATAATTCAAAGAAATAGAAACAAGGCAATACTACAATAAAATGTATTATCACTTTTGGTTTCAAATTTGTTTGTCTTTATCTGGTCTTTGGTGATTTATCTAGTCTTTGGTGATTTATCTAGTCTTTGATGATTTATCTCGTCTTTGGTGATTAATCTAGTCTCTGGTAATTCATCTAGTCTTTGATGATTTATCTAGTCTTTGGTGATTAATCTAGTCTTTGATGATTTATCTAGTCTTCGGTGATTTATCTCGTCTTTGGTGATTGATCTAGTCTCTGATGATTTATCTCGAGGGTACGATTCCAAACAATCGTAACTCGAGATACGACTTTTTTAAAAGAAAATATATGTTAAAGAACAAAACGACGCCCACCTTGTGTTAAAACGATGTACCTATAGCTTTAATTTTAAGGCAGCTATGGCACAGAGTCTTTTAGTCGTATCTTGAGTTTGGCAAAAAAATTGCATCCAAACTGTAGTAAGTCTAGTTACGATACTTTGGTTTCAAATCTCGGTGTCGTATATATCGTAACAATGACATACGACAGTTTGGTTTCCAATTTTCCATCCAAACCGGGCGATTTCA